GAGGTTCTGCCCCTATAGAGAAAATTGTTGCAGGAAGTCTTCAGTCTTCAGTAATAAGGATAGTAGGTTGGTGAACCTGTGTTAATCCTGACAGACTGCCTTCCAGTGAAAATCCAGTTTCTCCTTGTAAATATTAACTGATGGGGCTGATAACACTTGTTCGGGTAAGGCGTTCTAATCATTGACTACTCGAAAGGAAGCGTCCCTCTGTATGCAGACTACTCTACCGGATTAAATGAAGCTCTAGAGTCTCACCAGTATCCGTTACCCTTACCGGAAGATCTTTTCGCTAAGCCGAACTGTGGCAGGTGTTTTTGTGAAATTGGACTTATCAGTATCGGTGAAAGCAAAGATCTTCTGACGACACACACAAACGTATGTTCCGGCATAACCGACTACCTTTTGGGGTGAAGACGGTGCCCTCGATTTTCCAGCAAATTATGAGTACCATGTTACAAAGCATTCCAGGGGCAGCAGCTTATCTAGATGACATCATATTTATGACAGCAGACAAAATGGACCTGCAGAAGAAACTGGGCCAGGTACTAGAACGCATAGCCGATTATGGTTTTCGCCTCCGAGCGGGAAAGTGTTACTTCTATGTGCAGCAACTACGGTACCTTGTGTTCATAATAGATAAAGACGAAAGACGACTAGACCCAGAGAACATTGAAGCTGTTAGAACAATGCCTAGACCCAGGGACATTACTACCCTACGATCGTTCTTAAGATTGGTCAGCCATTATGGTGCCCTCCTCCCCGATCTCCATCGTCTACGTGCTCCAATAAACCACCTACTGAAAAAGAATAAAAGTAAGAATTGGTCTACGGACTGTCAAGAATCTTTCGAGAAAATCAAGCAACTCCTAACATCCAATCTCTTGTGACACATTATGATCCTTCTCTACCGATAGTCGTTGCTTCAGATGCTTCTAACTATGGTGTGGGCGCAGTCATCTCTCACATTTTTCCTAATGAGCCTGAGAAAGCTATCCCCCACGTTGCCAGATCTCAGACAACGACCGAAAGGAACTATAGTCAAATTGGGAAATAAGCCTTATCAATTATCTTTGCAGTGAAAAAGTTCCATAAGATGATATATGGTCGACATTTCACCCTAATAACAGACCATAAGACACCACTTTCAGTTTTCGGGTCAAAGAAAGGAATTCCTTCTCATACAGCTAAACGACTCCAACGATGGGCAACCTTCTGCGTTACGACTTCAAGATCAAGTATCAGTCTACTACCGCCTTCGGGCAAGCTGATGCATTGTCAAGATTAATAAGCTTCCAATCAAAGACCCCAGAGGAGACTCTTGTAGCGAATATAAAAGCTGAGAAAGAAGTTCATCGTGTATTAGATGACGCAATTAATGGACTCCCAGTAACCTTTGAAACTATCAAGATCACTGAAAATTATAAGATATTGAGCACGGTTACGTGCTATCTCTCGATCAACTGACCAAACAATCGCCTTGACGGAGAACTTCTGCAATATTTTGGTCGATGAGACTCACTAATGGTTGTCGACTCGTGTAATATGTTCGGTGATCGAATTGTTATTCCGAAGTTATTACGTCTAAAGGTTCTCAAGCAGTTTCACAGTGGCCATCCTGGAATCAATAAAATGAAATCGTTGGCTCGTAGTTATGCTTATTGGCCTTCAATGGACAAAGATATCGAGAATAAATGCCGTAACTGTCCACCATGGATTCAATCTGCTAAAAATCCTTTGAAATGCGAACCTCGGTATTGACCAATGCCTGCAGGAACCTGGGTAAGACTTCACGAAGATTCTGCTGATCCATTCCAAGAAAAAATGTTTCTAATTATCGTAGATGCATTTACCAAGTGGTCAGAAGTACATGCCATGCCCAATTGTATAACATCAGAAACAACCCACAATTTGTCTACCTTGTTTAGCTGCTTCGGAGTTCCAGAGACCTTAGTAACTGATAATGGCTTCCAACTCAACACATAATCGTTTAAGTATTTCTGCAGTGCAAATCGAATAACTCATCTTCGTTCTCCGCCCTATCATCCGCAATCGAACGGCCAAGCAGAACGCTTTGTGCACACCTTTAAACGAGCAATAACGAGAGGGGAAGCGAAGGGACAACTGGACAAGTAATCACAAAATTTTTAACATCCTACAGAATCACTCCGAACCCAAATGTTCTAGATGGTAAGTCTCCTGCTGAAGCCATGTTCGGAAGGCGTATTCGGACAGTTTTCAAGGCCATGTTGCCATCCAAATTAGTGGATGGGCACAATCACAATCCAAATATCCGGAGCTTTAATGTTGGCGACGAAGTTCTCATTAAACCCTACATTCGGAAGAACCAATGGGAGCTCGGAAAAGCTGTACAAAAACTGGGAAAAGTTCTGTACGAATCAAATCCATAAGGACAAAAGAACGATGCAGACTCGAAATCACCGGCCGAATTTCCCGTTAATCATAGACACACCAACGCTACATCTGCCCAAGGATACTGATAAGAAGCCTCGGACAAGGAATACGTCAAGAATAATGGGACACCGCCGCAACCTAGTTGTCAAATTACAAGTAGATCCTAGAAAGAAACCTTATTCGGGAGACGAGTTAAGTTGGCTTTTGGAGAACTTCAACGGAGCCTCCAGAGGCCCAAAAGGAGCCGAAGAGTCCTAGTCAATCAGAGCACGATGGGGCACTCTAGAATTCCAACGTGGCGTGCTACTGTTGGCAAGTAGTATAATATGCCTTTGAGCGGATTGGCAAATGTTATCATTTATAAATTCTCGTGTTTTACTGTACTTTAATGATGCTTTAGAATAATGTGCTTTTCGCTTATTTTCCGACTTTTCTCTCGAGCTCAGGTCGCTGCGAATTTCTAGCTAGCTTGTTACCAGAATAGCTTAGTAACTGAATAAGGCGTTCAAATTAACAATACTTATCAGTGGCGATGGAAAAACTACAATAAATATTCCTTCGAAGCACCTAGAATCTTATACGGAGCGTCAACCGTATAGATTTAAAGTCCTAAATCAGAATCATGCAAACCTTGATGCAGTAATTTAGCCTGTCTCAGAAAGACACTGCTTTTTTGAATCATAAATATCTCATACTGAATCAATTTTTAATGCCATTCCTGGATTTCATTTTGACGGTGCAGCAGGTGTAACTTTTGATTTTTGGTTTAAGAAATATGAAGATCTGTTCTATTTTGATCTCTGCAGAGTTGATAACCCCTCAAAAGTCAGAATACTTCTAAGAAAACTTGGGACTATGGTACATGAACGTTATAGTAACTTCATTATCTCGAAGAACCCACGAGACTTTAGTTTTGATGAAACAGTTAAAACCCTGTCTCAGATCTTTGGAGAACAGTCATCCCTATTTAATATCCGTTATCAATGCTTGCAAATAACGTAAGAACCAGATGATTGGGTGAAGCATGCAGGGATTGTGGACCGAGAGTGTGAGAGGTTCAAGTTGTCTTCCATGCCTGAAGACCAGTTTAAATGCCTAGTATTTGTCTGTAGCTTGCGTTCACCATAACATGCTGACATCCGAACACGAATCCTCAGCAAGCTCGAACACTGCCCCAACATGACCCTGCTGGAAGTAACTACCAAGTGCCAAATGTTAGTGAATTTGAAGTACGATACCTCGATGGTAGAGAAATGTACCCGATTCCCTAACTTCAATGCAGTCGAGAGAAAAGTCTCAAAAAGTTCCAGCACGCAGAATTATCGTAATGACAGCGACAACCATCATCTCCATGCTGGTCTTGTGGAGGTTGACACCATAAGAGGTTCTGCCCCTATAGAGAAAATTGTTGCAGGAAGTCTTCAGTCTTCAGTAATAAGGATAGTAGGTTGGTGAACCTGTGTTAATCCTGACAGACTGGCTTCCAGTGAAAATCCAGTTTCTCCTTGTAAATATTAACTGATGGGGCTGATAACACTTGTTCGGGTAAGGCGTTCTAATCATTGACTACTCGAAAGGAAGCGTCCCTCTGTATGCAGACTACTCTACCGGATTAAATGAAGCTCTAGAGTCTCACCAGTATCCGTTACCCTTACCGGAAGATCTTTTCGCTAAGCCGAACTGTGGCAGGTGTTTTTGTGAAATTGGACTTATCAGTATCGGTGAAAGCAAAGATCTTCTGACGACACACACAAACGTATGTTCCGGCATAACCGACTACCTTTTGGAGTTCAGGTCGCTGCGTATTTCTAGCTATCTTGTTAGCAGAATAGCTTAGTAACTGAATAAAGCGTTCAAATTAACAAGGCTTACCAAACACCTCACAAACTCGGAATACATACATGTTTACGAATTTCCGCACAACACATCACCAACTCACTCGCATTCCATGTGCAACCACCCTACCATTACAACATCTATTCAATTATAGTAATAATAATGATAATAGTAGTCAATCTACATTAAATAATGTTCCGTGTGGTCGACAATTACTAGTAGGTAAGTGGTCATCCCATGTGTGAACACCGCACAAAATCGGAATATAAACACGTTTACAAATTCCTGCACAACGCATAACCGACTGTTTCGCATAGCATGTATACACTCACTTTTCCTACGTCTCCGTCTTCGCGTTTTTTTTAATCTTTTCTTTTTTCTTTTTTAATGTACTATATTGTTTATTCTTCTTTCCTTCTGTGCAACTGTTTTCTTTTTGGTTTATATGTCTTAGATATTAGATACTTCTAAATATTTTTGGTTCATCCATCTACCACATTTTACCGTTATTCAACCATAATTTATTACTAATGACCAAAAGTGAAATGTGACGCAAACGGCACAGTAGCCATGTCAAAATATACAGAATAATTTCAGGTCATATCATCATTAACCTGAAGATCCAAGCATATATATATATATATATATGATGTGTATTGATATTCCTTCACAGATTTTCAGGCTCTACTTCAATGATAGACAAAATAACTCGTTAGAATAGGCAATGATTTTCGGCAATAATAAAAGAAATTAGATATCAGAAGTAATATATTTTAAACTCTGATAACACTGACCGACAGAAAAATGATGATACAATATCTGATGGTGACATCAGAACTGAGAAGAAATACAAAAATATATATATGACAAACCAATGGATCTTCAATTAAAATCTGTTCAAATCATCAGCAGTTAATTCAGGAATTTCTATTTCTAATATTAAAACAGAATTAGAATAAATGTTAAATAAATCATAATGTAAATGATTAAAACGCTTACAGTATATGATGTTTATTGCATCAAATTTTAATATTCCATCAAATAAACAATAGAGATAAACTATGCATAAATAAATAATAACAATAACTAGACGTAATCCAAGACAAACCCTATCTAATGTAATGCTTGTCCCAATTAATGTAATTCAATTTTCTAGTATTTCTTCGTTATATCTTTCGGTTCGTATAAAATTGAAGGCACAGTATTCAAGTCAATTTGTGATCAACGATTGCATCTAAATGGACTTTATTTACCATCCTATATGAAAGAGGTTAACCGATTGTGTACCTAGAAGCCAATAGAAATATTTTTACCAATATTTATATGCATATGTGCTTATCGCCTCACCATAAACAGTTATAAAACGATTGAATGTCATAATTTCCATTATGTCTGTCAATAAAACAATAACGTAAGAAAAGATCCATAAATAAACTGTACACCCAACATGACCATTTAACAAAACACTTTTACAGTTGGTTTCTGATGAATTCGCTATATCATCTGCTCTTGAAACTCACATTAACAGAATAAGTTATAGCTGAAGAGAAAGCCTAAATAAATTTCTATCTTTAAAGATCCAATGTATATTACGATATTTTGATGTAATAAGAGCAACGATCACACAAAACCTGAGGTATAAAAATGAGAGGACAATAGGTGAAGATAATCAATTATCTACAAGTTATGATAATAAACTTTCTCGTCAATTGCAAAAGAACAAAAAACATGAAGTTTAACAACTAACCAAAATGTGATTCTAATTCTTTTAACAAGTACATTTCTTCATTCACTATAAAATTGACTGCTATTCCTTCTTTTCCAAAACGACCGGATCTACCGATACGATGTAAATAAGTTTCCCAATCAGCACTACCAGTTCTTGTTGTTGGCATATTCCAATTTATTATTAAATTCACTTGTGGAATATCTAAGCCTTCAAGATAAAAAATTATTCACATCAAAAAAAATCTATAAAAAAAACAAACGAATCAAGTGTGGAAAAGTATAGAATGTAAATAACAAATTGCTAACAAAATAATCACATCTTTTAAATTTGGTAAATCTTATATTTCAATGGTTGAAATCATGAGTCAATTGAAGCTAGACCATCATAGAAAACCTGGAAGTACTGGATGGCCGTTTTCTATGATAGTCTGTTATATCTTGTGGTATGAGTGCCTTGTTAATGTGTAACGTAATAATGCCCCCAATCAGAGAGCAGTGAATTATCGATCGGACCAATGACGTGTAAAACACGTGCGAGCAGCCTAGAGTCCTGATTGGTACTGCTTTCCACCTAGCCCAGCCACTTAAGTCCAGAACACCAGTCCCAGCCTCTGCAATATAAATCATTATATTTCAAACAAACTCGGTTTATATGCCAGTCAAATAGACCACAAAGTAGCATAAAATAGAAAATAACATTTGTACAAAATTTGGCCAAATGTGGCTGTGAATTTGGGAGGTAGTGATTAATAGACAGGGCATAATTCAAGTATGGTAAATTGTATAATAATAGTTCATCGGTCAAAACAAAGCTTATAATAAGAGGAATATGAATAGTTTAGTTATTTAACAATTATACTATAAAAATATACGTTAAGTATTGGTCCATAAATGGATCCAAAGGTTACCATTCATTATGCTTATCGGGACCTAACATAGTCTAGTTTTAATTGACTCATGATCTCCACCATTAAAATTACTACAATATTCAAAAAATCCCTTCTGATATAAATCTTATATTATATTAGTTAATGTAAACAAAGTAAAGACAAACCAATTAGTATTTTATAAAGAAGTTCAAATGATTGAAGAATCCATTTCTCAATGAAATGATATACAACCAAATAAACTAATAACGTCCTACCTACTAATCTAAAAGAAACGTACGACAAGTTCATCCAGAAGATAACATTAAAACACATCAACAGTTAGTTTGTAAGCAGAATGTTGTTATAAGACAATTGACTAGATTTTTTTTAAAAGCATGAAATAAACTAATTAGTTCTAGTATCTCCCAATAATTTCGGCATCATATGTATCCTCAGAATTGAAAAACATCTATTATAAAAAGAAGTCGAATATTAATAGTATGTGTTATAGATGATAAACACTTTATAGGAACTATTATTATGTATAAATTGTCATAGCATAATAGACGCTGTTATATCCTAACGAAGAATAGAAGAATCAATTGAGACTGGACCACCATGGAAAACCTGGAAGCACTGGACGGTCGGCTAGTCCTATTATGAGACTCCCCAGCAGTGCGCACCCACGGCCCCTTCTCGCGGGATTCCAAACCAGGGCCTATCAGTCTCGCGCGAGAGCGCCTGGCCGCTAGACCACTGAGCCGGTATCCAACAGTGTTAATGTTTAACTTCAACTAATTCACGAAATTGAGCGACACATCCACTATTGTGATCTCACAACTGACCCGGTTGAACTCTATTGGTCACTGCTTCTCACTAGAACTCCAGGATATACGTCTTGAAGCCAGTCACTAGTGAGCATATGTTGATTGAAATATATAAATATATATATATATATATATATATACTCTTGTATAACTATTAAGTGACTAGATTATATGTATTTATATTTCTTTTATTATAAAATTTCATTTGACCTATTGACTACTACTATTATATAATTTCCTATTCTCAAGTTATTCTCAATGTATACAGTCTCTCACACTCACAGCCACTTTTGACATGATCTTGCATGATTGTTATTTTCTATTTTATGGTGTGATGCAGTCTCATTCCTTTGTATATAAACTGTGTACGTCTGTAATATATGATTCGAACAGTGGAAGCTAAGATTGTGTTCTGGACTCAATGGGCAGTACTAGGCGAGAAGAACCAATAAGAACTTAGCGTTGAATCTAGACTGCTCATGCTGACTAACGTGGCATTGATTTAGCACAAGGCTAAGGTCGTATAAGCCGGTACCCTGATTGTCGATCTTATCACGTTATATCGACAGGCCGTTGTTGAGGATGCCAGATCCCCAGAAATCACTTGATAAACGTCTTATTTTTGTAAGTTTACTTTGGAAGTTTGAACTCCTCGTTTTCGCGCCAAAAACATCCACTTTTACTTTCAGATAGTATTTCCCATTAGAAAGGACCCTAAACGTCATTGGTTGGTTGCCTCTTTTAACATGCTATTTTCTGACGTTTCCCAAGGAAACTTTTATGCTGTATGTATACGCTTGAGTTGTGTGCTTGTGGTTGTTCGTGCTTCTATGTGCTGTGGAATATACCTTTCTTCCATCTAAACTGGATCTCATTCCTCTATTTAGCAGGGTTGGGACGCATCGGAGCAGTTTAGCTTATCTTGTCGTTATGTCGCTGTTCCTTCGATCCCTTCGCCGATTTCAGGTGATCTTGTAATCGCTTCAAACATAGCAACCGTAAGAGCATAACAGAAATTAACACTAAGATAAGAAACAAACCTCGAGAACACACATTAGTTGTAATTAAAACTCGGAAATTTGATGAACGAAAATCTTCAATGACTTTTTCGCGTTGAGAAACATCTAAATCACCGGAAAGTATGTAGACTTTATGACCATCCAAATTCATTTTCCCGTCCAGCCAACTAGCTTCCTGTCGTGTCTAAACAATGGATTAAAAAAATCGGGAGACGTTAAAGACAAAAAGATCAATTTGTGAAGACTGTGTGTTTGTAGTTTTGTCCTCGAACAATGTGTACAGATATTTATGTACATTCTGAAAAATAAGCACAATATGGGCAATTTGGAAGACTGATTAATTTAACAACTAAGAGTGCATATTTTAAATATGTTCGTAGGAAAGTAGAGCCGAGTGATCTGTAATAAATACGCATCCATGAACACAACTAGTTGAGTACTTAAAGAACAAAGGTGTTAAGAACCAGTAAACAGCTCCTTGACTTTTTTTAACGCTGGTACTTTCGATCACTAGAAGTTGTACACAAGCTTACTAAAACAACTTTTTGAAATCAAGTAACGAACGTTTGGTAGGCATTTTTCAAAAAGGCTATTCATGGTACGATATTTTCCACACAAATTAATTGAGTTACGCTTATATTTCACACCGAGCCAAATACTCAATCGTCAGGTAACTGGAAGTCATTTACTCTATCAAAAGCACAATCAAGGATAAAGTATATACTTGAAATAAGAGAATAAAGATAAAACTACAGGATTTACTATGAATAAAGAAAACAAAATTGCTAAGTCAAGTGTTAGTGTCCAAACAGCAAAAATAAACTAAACATCTCAAATCAGGAGTTAAAAAACCATCCAAGATGAAAAAAGTCCTAAAGAGTTGAGTGCATAAAGAAAATTCAACGAGGACAAAGAGGGAAATTATTACTTTTGATTCTGTTACATTAAACGTCTGAAACGTCGACATTCTGGACAGTGACTTGGTCTCCATAAAAATATGCATTTTGAACCCTCTAAAATGTTTACTTCCACGTCTAGTACAGTTACAGAAACTAAGGGAACATTTTATATGGCCAACAGCGGCGTTGAAACTTCAGAGGCTGCTGAAAGATACTAATATTTATCACAAACTAGAGATTCAACTAGTCAGATTGAGAAATAAAATAACTGGATGGAAGATGCATTAGCGATTAAAATTCTCTTTTCGACAACATCATTTTATGGAGCTGTACAGTCGCATTTATAGACAATTGTCTACATTTAATAGTTTATAAGGAAACAAGAGAGTATTACATCATTATCAACGATGGTCGAATGCATTCGAGTATCGAATGTAAATGTCTATAAACATGTGATGTTGTATTTGATAAAGTGATCAAAAATTATCAAAAGATTTCAAGCATTGAATATAACAGTCTAGAAATAGAAGTGTGTTATTTCAAAGTGATCAAAGCTATCAGAAATCTAATATTGAATACGATAGGTATCGCATCATCTTGTAAAACGATCAAACTTTATCAAAGAAATGAAAGTTTCAGAAGTAACAAGAAATGATAATGTTTACAACGGATGCAAAGTACGATTATCAACTTGAAACGGAGAAAGAAAGGGAGATGAGTAAGAAATTAATTACCACTTACGACTGGTGAAATCCAAAGGGGTACTAAGGCCATAAAATAACAAGGGATTGGACAGGATTCTTTTATACGCAGATGTCAAGTCTGAAGTGGTGAATTGCTGTAGCCCCAGCTGTGCACGAATTCCTAGTCCAAACCTTATTCGAGTCAGTTCTTTCAACATAGTAGATAATCTTGTGTGTTAACTCTTGTAGTGGCAACTGACCCGAGTTGACCATGTATTCAAGGATTAAGCTATCGATCACTTTACATTCTCCTTAAAATAGCTATACCGGGTAATTTTCAGATATTCCTTTACCAAGTGTACGCATTGTAAAACCAATACAGCCTGCTCTACAAGGGCATGTAAACTGATAAGTAGGTATTAAGAGGCTCCAAAACATCAACTTTCTTGATACTTACCCAAATGACACTTTTACTTAAGAACAAATTCAGAGCTTCGCTAGATGAAATGTCTTCATCAGAGGCCTAGATTGTCTATTTTTTATTATCTCCGCAGACGTATCGCCCTCAAATTCAATGTTCAGGAATAAGACCTTCGGAACTGTGGGGGTACTTTCAACTTGACGTTTTGAATGACCACTGTGAGATCGCTGGAAAAATTGGACAATTACGACACGTGGCACACACATGACATTCATCCACAATTCTGAGGAAAATATCCTACAATTTTTCACTAAAAACAAGAACTAGGCCTTTTGAACGGAAAAAATATACCTGTCTCCCATCGCCTTGAAGTCAACTAATAGACAACAAACTTTTACTAAACGCACGATAGACTCCCAATTCAGATTTTTTGACCGCCGCTAAACTGTCCACTATTGGTTCAGTGTGTTGACCAAACAGTCGTGATGATGCATTTTTCTAACGGGTGATTATTATTATTGTAATTGCTGCTTGTCGCTGTAAACCGAATGCAGTAAATACAAGGAGTAACTTCGCTGATCCAAACACTGGTAGCAATAGTTTACAGTCTGTTTATAACGGAACTGATGCCTAAAGGTCATGCTATGGAACTTTTTTACAGTGAAAATTATAAATACAGGTTGCTGCTTGATCTGCTGCATCATGCACAAATGTACTTTAGACATGTATAGATCAATTTGAATTGACCGAAACAATGTTATTCTTTGAAGCACTACAGTAGGAGTAGATTGATTTTGATGGGTAGTTAAAGTATTGAAAAAACAAAATAAAACGTCGAAATACAAATACAAACGGAGATTTGATTCGTTGTGAGTACTAAATAACGCACAACGTAGAAATAATGAAATGTAGTTGAACTACTTGCTATTAGTTAGTAGCCAAAAATCAACAGACGAAATAAGTAAGGTTGGGAAGATGATATAAAAGCCACTCAGGTAAACTATCTCTACATGACATTGAGTAATGAGTAAAATAAGACGGTGGAATACTCTCAATCATAAATTTACGACTTGAAAAAACTTTCAGCTCTCTGAATTAAGCTGTTCAGTTGTTATGTTTACCCAAAAATCATATAAATATGACCAAATATGAAAAAATTGACATTATTGCTTGATTTTCTGAACGTTTCGACTTTTCTTTCCAGCTGATTAAACCGTTCCCTAACCCTCCTAAGTGACAGTATTATTAATCTGCGCAGAACACATAACAATCCCAAAGCTTTGATGGACCAGGTTTTTATCATTTACAGTATACATCCGGGTGAGGATCTTCTTCATAGATTAATTTGCTAACTAAGAACGAACCACGATGAATTCAATTATATTCATCAGTTGGATAACGACGTTGATACGATAGTTATGTTTAATCAGCTAAAAATTCAACAAAATATAAAACTTACTGCACAAAATATAATTGCTTGGCCAACTTCAAAACCTCCATATATATCTTTTAGCGCCTGATACTTTTCAATCCAATCATTAAAGCACATGTAAAACTGTTTAATATTCTTCAAAGGAAGTTGTGTACGCTTTACGCGAAACTCTATCGGATTGGGAACAAACTCATGTGCAAAATCAATAATGGAATCCTCATACGTAGCTGAGAACAATAGGATTTGGCAATTTCTAGACAACTTCCTACGGAGTTGGTACAGGTAAGAAATAACATGAAATAACGTATAAAGATCCCCGTCATATTAAAAGACTAGTATTTGAACGAAGAATATTCTCTTCGATAAATTCTCTTCAGGTTCTACAATTATATATCCAAATTAATAATCCGAAAAATGGCCAGGTTAAGGGCAAAGTACATCGTTTAGAGCATGTGAATTTAGGATTGTGATAAACAAAATACAATAAAATTATTAATGTTAATATGACTCATATAGAATGTTAACTTGAATCAGCTTACATGTTAAATTTCGATAATGCAATGAGAAAACGTAGTTTATCAGAATTATGTGATATATTTGCGCAATACATTTCGAACAATCTGATCACACATATACTTGTTAAGAACATTTATATATGAATATTAAAAGGTCAACTAGACAGGTTAAGGGTAAGTCATAACAAAGGAAAAATATTAAAGTACACAAAACCAAACGTGATTACCACTCCGGATAGTAAATCGGTACTACCAGGGTAGGTTACGTGTAAGCACAAATTGTTTTTGAACGCATAAAGGGGGTTTCAATTTTCGTATAGCCAAGGCTTTAATAAACCTTAGTATACGTCCTTGAAGGCATTTGCACAACACAAATGACCCGTTTCAATCAAATGTGTTGCAATGGATGATGGTGTCTGTCTATCCTTTGATCTTATTTGATCGAATTGTAATTGCACTATTATTTCTCTCTCACCCTACTTGACCCATATTTATTCTGATCATGGGTCTTAAAATTTTACTTAACATATAAGCTGATTCAAGTTAACATTCTATATGAGTCATATTAACATTAATAATTTTATTGTATTTTGTTTATCACAATCCTAAATTCACATGCTCTAAACGATGTACTTTGCCCTTAACCTGGCCATTTTTCGGATTATTAATTTGGATATATAATTGTAGAACCTGAAGAGAATTTATCGAAAAGAATATTCATCGTTCAAATACTAGTCTTTTAAATAACGTATACTCTAATAATAACGAAATATTTATATTAAATATTTTATTAACTTAAGTTCAGTTTAGTAATAATTGAATACAAGTCTGACACTATCTATTTACTTTTTGAGTCGTTCTGACTAGGATGGAAACTGGAAAGAATTGGGATTTCTACAAGTATTAAAACATGATTACTTAAACAAAAATGAACTTTAGTGAGTATTCCAAATAGACAAGAACGAAGCTAGTTACTTACAAAAAAAATGTAAGAAAGATTAGATTTTTGTGGCCCGAGATCTGACTCCAATTAGATTCTATGATTGATTGTTATTGAAATGTACATATCGTCTATCCTCGTATAAAATTATCGGCCTGATCCGCTTTAGGGTATAACGGAATTAAATAAGTGAAATAAGAGAACGGAGTTTTGAATACGTATACTTTGTACACTCATCTGGACAGACAATTAGATGAAAGAAGCGAAATGACGCACGGTGGAAATGGAGGGTGAGCCAATTCGACTTAACCGAGAGTTAATCAATATTTATAGTCACACAAAAATAAGCTAGATATATGTGATGAGTGGGATAAGATCAGTAGCAGACCAGTCGAAATGTTCCTCGAATAACCCGACCCGTCGTTCAAGACCTTGGTAGATGTTCTTGATTGGTATCTCAAAAACTTCATAGATTATTCCGCTCGCAACAGACTTCTTACTGCCAGCGACTTGGATGAGGCGAAAGAGCTTCCAGCAGTCACCAGATGAAGCTGCTGTTTGCAACTCGTCAGTACGCTCCGAAAACTATTTCCCTAGTACCGCACGAATTCTGAGATAGAGTTCAGTCCACGTATTTCCCAGAATAAATACATTTATAAATATTTAATCGGTTTTCAGTCAAGTTAAGGATTTGCTGGTCAATAAAAATATAAGCTAAGCATTTCTCTTTCCGCTGAAATTTAAATTGTTAGTGAATAGTGGTAAGAAACTGGTATCAGTAGCAATCTGAATTGCTAACTACAGTATTGACAATTTTCCAGTCCAAATGTATTACAACAATACATAGTCCTCTTCATGAAAGCACACCTGAAATCCCCGACACAAGGAGACGAATCCTTTAAGTTTAATAAAAAACCCATGAGCGATTAAATTTACCCCGATATTTTAGAAAATCATTCACAATGACGGCTGAAGGTTAAAAACGGGTACACCCATGTTTAGTGAAATATACTTTCAGGGTCAGAGCGACATTTTAATTCTCGAACGCCATTCCAGTTAGCAAATAGTTCACTAATATTGAAAAGTGATAATCAAAAAACGGAAACAACCAACCATAAAGTAAATAATAATCAGTTTATCTTAAAAAGCAGGCATCCAAACCTTCTACTTTAAAAAATGGTCGATTAGAATTATAAAGGAAAGGAAAAACAAAAAATCCTCTAACTTGCTTTTTAACCCGCATGCATATATTGAGAAAACCTTCTTCTTCTATCATTATGTCAGCTTCATCTAATACAAACATAACAACTTTGGATGGATCAATACGATACTCTCCTGTACCACGAAACCAATTCGCGATTGTACCCGGAGTACCAATAACAATCTGATCAGTTACGTACCCATTCGAATCGACTTTGACTAAAACATGGATTTTCAAAATTAAAAACCATGCAGTAATAAACAAGCTCACTGAAATAAAGTTATCATATCAAATACGCTACTTTAAATAAACATCTGAAAAATATTTGAATACTTCTGCTTAGAACTCTCTTTAGAAGATTGATATTTTCTTAACTATCTGGTTGATATGATTTAAGCTTATTATAAAGATCAAGATCGCGTACCTGGCTTTGAGCTACATTTTCCCGAATGTGAGGACTGACGATGTTGTTCAGACAGATAATGGGAGGGTCGACGTACCACTAATTGAAAGCTAAATACTTCACCAGTAAGCTTGCTTGTATATCTGGGATACCTACTTTTTCTCAGCAATCGAATATTTCAACAGGTTACCTTTATTCCCTTTAAATTCACTGTCAACAAGCCCTATGGCTTATTCACGCACATTTACAAAGCAGTACGAACCATTGCAACGAACAGATTGTACGAGATGACCTAATCGAAAACTTATACTTCTAAACCTATTACTGATTTAATGCTGTACAGAATATTTTCCTAAAATATGTCAATTAATTTTATATACTTTTAATTGCCTATATTACGTATATGTGCATGTATATTTATTTCTTACGACGGATAAGTGTAAGAGAAACTTGTTGAAATATCGGGCTGAAATTTCTATATTGTATCAAGCAGATACAACTGAGTGAAACCATTATTACTGTTACTATTATTATTAGTAATAGTATTATTATATAACTATACAGACTGAACTTAACTAAACAAATGAATAACGAAAAACGAGTTGTCTATGACTTAATGCGTGTCATAAGAAGCTAGAAAGGTGCTTTACTCCAGTCAATAATTATTAATAAGCAGTTAGTGTTGGAAAGCCTAACTAATAAACAAAATTTCTATACTGTACCAATTTAAAATAGATTACTACGAAAACCTTCCCAAACCCTCCATTGACATCCGAAAGTAAATAACTGTTTTTGAAGATTTCATGAAGCAAATACAAGTTTATGTTTTGATAATATGGACAAAAAACAAAATAATTCATAAAATCCATTATACCACGTGGTGAACGGACTGCTGTAGCAAAAGATACCTCCGTCATGAACTGTGCCATTTGTCGACCAACTGATTCTATCTGCAATGCCAACTCACGTGTAGGTGCCATACACAAGCATTGACAGTAATGTACATCTGTGCTAATACGTGACAACATAGCAAGAAGAAATGTTGCTGTTTTTCCAGTACCAGACTGAGACTGTGCAATCATATTTTGTGGGCTGGGAAAGCAAATAAGAAGGAAATAAATTATGTTACTACATAGTAGTGAGGCAGAGACTTAATGGCTGAAGCATTTAACTTTCAACTAGTAGGTCCCTGGTCCGAACCTCATTACATGTACTTCAGTTTGGACAACCGGGTAATATCACCACCCCTCGTACAAAAAGCCTGGCCTAAAAGTCAGCGTATAAACCTGTTCTCGATAAGCGGAATATTATTACATTAGTAGCATAAGACAGGTTACGTGAAATAAATAAAACCAACCCGTTTCATGATACTTAACAGTTATGAAACATAGTTGAGGATAGTGTTTAGATTACAGATATTCGACCACAGGTATATTCCAAACATTTTTTCACATGTAACAGCAACGGTAAAGTTAAACACGAAATTTTAGACAAGAAAGCCGTTAAGGCTGTGAGTCATGACCAATAAAGGTAGATGGGTCATGCCAAATCAGTATCCACTATGGCTGGAATAAGACTAGGTTTGAAAAAAAAACAATAACGGCTAGAACAAGATGTAGCACCATTACATGAAAGCGATGGGTGTTGGTCTGAATAGTATGATGAGGTGTAGATAGAATAAGGTCCATAGGATAAAGTTCTTTATAGTAAAACCTAAACTGCATACCCCAGAAACCATCAAAATGCTGCAGGTTATTTCACTCATTATGTGTTTCTAACTTTTGAGCATTTTGTTATTTATCATTCACTTCACAAGTATAGAAATCTCAGTGATGTTCGCATTTTTCGTTAAGTATTGTTAAAAATCCTACCAAGCCTCAACTTCGCAGAAATCAAACTACTGTGTTATTATTGCTATCAACATTTTTAGGATAACTGGATGTAATTTTTGCGAAAAACGGAATGCATCTGCAAAGAATCAGGTGGGCAGTTGAACTGCGTAATGCAATTGTATCGTCTATTTTAAAAACTGGAGTAACTTCGTAAATTAAACTCCACTCACATATGCTTAGATTTTCCATAACAAGTAACTTAACAGACAAAACAGTAATAATGTGTACAGGCTCGGGTTCTATACGTCTTAGTTATAACAACAGTAAGTCAACAAAAGAAAAGATGTGGTGGAAAGCGAAACTGCAATAGAAAGTTGAGAAGTCAAAAAACAAACTACAATTGAGAACAAAATACTTGGAGTTATATACTACACACCCGTACTAATATTTTTTTATTTGAACACAAAAATCGATACAAAGGGGCACCAAATACATACGTGCCACACAATAATATTGAGGCTGTAAAGAAGTAGGGAATGTAAAATGCATATAAATAAAAGGGAAACAACGAACAGAAATTAATGCATGAGAGTGAAATAATAATAAAGAGGCAGTTAGCAAAATACAACCAGAAAGAATTCCTTCAGTTAAAGAAATTACGTTCATTTCTTATGAAGAAAATAAAAGTTACAGCAGGATCGCCACTGGCTTCTTTTCTGAACCATATCTGATAATGTTTCTAGCCACTGAGTTGCACCATCTCCAGGACCCCAACCAGGGAGTCCTGTACAGCTTTCTTTCATACCGCCTGTTATAATCTCTTTCTTACGGTTATGACCCAGCTATTCTTATTGCTTAGTATTTTCGGACACCGATTCACTCGACAAGCCCCAAAATCAGAACACGGTTGAGCAGGAAAGAGATTATATTTCAAATAACAAGGTTAAATGGAAGTAAGAAGCATAATAGGTAAAACGTTAGTATATTTATAGTTTTTACACGAGAAGATTCCAGAGTGTTCTCCAAGTATTGACTAGTGCTGATTGGACAAGAATTAGCCAATCAGCGTGAACCGAAGCAATCGTGCATTGAGCATGCTTTAATCCAGTCTGTGTCCCGCTAACACCGCCACAGTCACATAGTGACCATCTCTCCGATCGATTCTAGCTTCTGCAAATAATGCGTGACGTGGAATTTTCTGGGGCGACATTCGTAGGACATGTCCAGGCCACAGAAGTCGATGTTCCAAGACAGTGACACCAACAGAATTATCGTCTCTGCGCCCGAACACACGATGCCGAACCTCTGCATTACTAACATGGTGTTACCACTGGATGTTAGCAATCCTTCTAACAATGGTGATCAAACAGAAAGTCATATAACACCCTCAACTCGGAGGCCAGGTTTCACAAGAATAGAGAGAAACGGCTCTCACCGGCGCGTTGTAGATCCGATCTTTAACAGCCAGACTAACACCACAATTTAGACTGAATGTAAGTGGCCAAATACAACTAAATACCGGTTGCATCACAAGGTTAACAGAAGTCGACTACGTTCTCCTTGAATGTTTCATCCACCAAGTCTGCACCACTAGACATGATCCAAACAAATGCCTGATGGCCCTGTGGACAAGTAACATGTATCAATCTGACCACTAATATATTATACACCATGCAACGTGATACACAAGGTTATGAATAATGTTTACACAAAATGTGCTAAAATCACTACATAAAAGATGGCTTATGACTGATTTATCGCAAATAATGATAGCGTTACTAACTTATCTACAGTAGAGGATTATCGATTAATGTATGTTCATGACTTTATGAACTACGTTTTACATCCACAGGGTAATACGGTTGATTCTTAATACCCAGTACTGAAACTCGTACAATTAAGGTCTGAGAAACAACACTAGTAATATACATGAAAGGCGTTGAATTTATCCATTTTGTACTTTTGTCCCTTTCAGTATATAGACCATACACAGTGGAAAAATTGTTTCATTTGACAACGCACCCGAATGCCCTGGTACGGCCGAGAGTCCAGTTTCTCTCTCTCGAAATGCCCTCACACGCCCATAAGTATAAAGCATCTACCTGGGAAGGCTCCACGTGTTGCCCCCTAAGAAAACCACCAGCTTCGGTTTGGGCACCCGGGCAATATCACAGCCCTCATGCAAATCAAATGAGATTTGCATAGCGCATATGTATCTGGTGCCTCCTTGTACCAATATCTATGTGTCCAAATAAAATAATAATAATAAACATGGGTAAAGTACGAAAAAACACTAACATAGTTGACGTCCTTTACTATTAGCTTTCAACATGTTTAAAATGAGCGATCAACATGGTAAATAAGTGAAAAGCTATTTTATAGATGACAAGAGCTTTCGAATTTTTACGAGGTATACTAAGTATCACTAGTGTCTGGACAATCTTGTGCAGAACCAACACCTAAAAGCATAAAAACAGACAGGCATGAAGCCTATTAGTTTAACAAAGCTATTCAAGATAGTGAGCAAATTATATCTAGACTAAAAGAGCTGGAATAGCTGCATTCGTTCAGCGTGAGTACAAACTTGCATGTAACAGATGTCATTTAAAAAAATATAAATGATTGTGAATAATAAGATCCGCTTCCATACTTACAACTCATAAAATAATCGGGCATTTTTCATGACAAGTGTACACTACTTATGAACATAGGTGTCAACTGTAAGATTAAGTGAGGCTAGAAAGTAAAAGCAGTGTCGAATAACCCCAACACAATATTAATCAAGGCAAAGCTGTACAAGTTTTGGTTAAAACGTGTGTCCTCCCCCCCCCCATATAAAGCCTGCAAGGCACGTTGAATCAATCACATCCAAACAAAATATCAGTATTTACTTGTCAGATATTAGGCTGCTCAAAGCTCGCTCTTGTATAGTGGATGGTTTGTAAAACCCCATAGCTGCGATACCTTTCAGAAGAGGTTCCTTTCTGCTGTTATAGTTAAGGTACAACATAAAAGCTTACAAGTTTAATTCTTGAAACGTGCGAACGGAATGAAGAGGATGGTTGGGGTCAGACCGCAGGATTTCAAAGTCCAAGTCGTGCGTCTCAAAAAGCTTAGAATTCAGCAACTTGTTGAGGTATGATATCTCCGCCCTGGTGAAAGCTTAAAAATAAAAGAACCACTAAACTGCTTACGTTTTTCATCAGATTCTTGATCGAGTTCAGCACCCTTGCTTTTGCTAATTCGCGATACACTTTCGAAGAGCGCTAACCAGTTTTCGCTCTCCGTAAATGACATAATGGTGTGAAGTGTAAAATAACTTGTTTGACGAAAGTGTCGAAAAAGAAAATAAACGAGCGAAACGTAAATCCGACGAAAACGAGACCAGGACCTTGAGGTGCAATTGTCATTCAGTGTACAATATCTCTCAACATGGCTAGCATAAAACATTGGATCTTTTACACCTTCATGGGAGATGTCCATATTACGGCTGTATCATAACTTCAAACCACGTTGAGCAGTAATACTCATATATTGGTTTCACGCGTAACATAATCCATTGATTATCTCTCGAAGTTATATCAATGTAAATTCAAATTTGTCTAGAAGACGTAATCTAAAGATGTCGATAAATAGACTTAAAAAATCGACCCAAAATATAACGTCCAAATGAAGCTGTGTATTGAAGAAGGATAATCGGGTGCATGATCCTGATGGTCGATAGTGGGACATTCTGCTGTCGTCCAGAGAAAACACGATGATTACTTTTGGCTTACATGTATTGAGATGTACCATGTAGTGACTCACATTTATCACGAGAACACGACTGGTTTAATAAAAACAATTATTATTATAACCAACTGTACCAGTGTTTGTTTTAATGTGCTTTTGTTTGACTGTGCTAATTACAGCTATCTTGTGCTTCCATTCATATACTTACACTTTGATTGTAACTTCGCGCGAATTCGGTTACGTTCTGTAACCAAACTTCAATCCTGGCACGATCTCGGTATCCTCTCGATGCCACGAGATCGCCAGCAAATATAACTCGACTTGGTCCACTAAATGCCTTCTGATATTTGGCTTCTCGGGGATTTTATGGATTTATTTGGTTACGTTCAACCTTCGCCTTCCGATTTATTTGGCACGTGTTTCTTGGTAGCGGTGTTCATAGTCAGTCTCGACTCGACGTCACGCTACAGACCATTCTAGTTTCTGGACAGGTCAAATAAAACTAAGTTACAGACACATATGCATTCAGATCCATATACACTCGAATCACAAACACTTAACCAAATTTACGACAGGCTATTATATAACATTTTCTGACCTTTTTATGTTCATTTGTAACGTTGCAGATTATATTTTCTGATCTATGTTACTGTTGATTCATTTTCATATGTGTACCCTAGTTAGTTATCCACTTCTTTGATCACTTTCGTGTGTTTGGTCCATGTTTGTCTGTACACTCACTTATCGCACCAATTATCTCTACTTTCATGTCTGTATTTCATGCGCTGTCTATACTCAGATAAAATGACAATTTATACTCGGACGTTTTGGGAAGGCTTCAACTACAACTTTAATTAACATCCAAAACACTTACATACTGCAGTTATCTGAAACCCTACACATGTCCACTTAAGCGTGACATTTTTCTATCTCCCTGTCCATCTCTAGTTATTCTGTCCCTCCAATCACTTAAGCCATTATTAGCGTATCATTCATAAGGTTTCCGGAAATCATCAACATCTGATTCTGCCATAATCAAAGTGACTGACTGACTAGTAGCATTGTCCTTGCTGGAGCAGTGGTGGGCTTGTAGTGACCTTTTTTATCAAGGGAACGCGATTGATGTAATGGAAACAACTATTATTATAACCAATCGTACCAGGGATTGTTTTACCGTACTTGTTTGTTTAACTGTACCAGAATAAATACATTCTTCCTTCCGTTGATTGTGACCTTACGTTTGCTCAGTAGTTCCGCTTGTACACCTTTGGCACGATCTCGGTATTATTTCGATACCACGGGATCGCCAACAAATACATCTCTACTACAGCCACCAGCTGCCTTCTGATATTTGCCCTAAGGGGGATCTTATCAGTTAACTGGCACGTAGTCTACCTGTGGTGGTGATCATAGTCAATCGCGACTCGACGTCACACTACAAGCTAACTTCTGAAAAGGTAGTGCTTACCTTTATTTCTAGTTACTGTAGTGTATGTAAACGAATCCATATAACAGATATTTCAGTGAGAATTCAACATTTGACTCTAACCTTAATAGCTACAAAGAAATCTTACCTCATTCATGATATCATACTCCAGCTCAGCTAAAACGTTTCTTTATCAGCGGAATGGTATTGATATTTATAAAAACTTCGAGGCTGGAGATATACGATTCACCGATTAAGGTCACGGACTAATTGCCAACAGTCTTTCATTCCCACCGACTCGGTGAACAATATTAAATGCTATCCTTTTCTTCGTTTTATTCGTTTGCTTTACGGTTTTTTCTTAGTTATAAGTGTTTTAATTGAAAAAATATGCTTATTCAAACAAACTTTATGCTATAAGTATTGTTTTGTATGGGTCACATAAAGTTCTTTATACTGTATCGGGGCAGAATGGCTTTGAGTTCTTCGTAATGTGGACTTTCAAGTTCTGACAGTCAAAAAGAGTCAACTTACTAATTTGAACGCTGTGTCGACCCTTCACTATTACTTGGAGTGCTAGTGATTTAATTGTCGTTAACTCAATACCTAAGCTGTCCCTCTACCATTGAACAAACTGTCCTTTTCCTACAGTTGTCGAGAATTATCACTATCGCGATGAACCTTAGAAAATCTTTATTTAGTTTACTGGTGTGCCATGAATGAAGCCTGAATTACGTGGCTTTTCAGGTATCCTGTGTTTTTTGACTAAATGAAAAGAGTGGAAACAGAATTGCCTTCTTCAGATATGATGAAGGCCGACAGAGAACTCAACACAAAATTCCATAGATCACTTGAGTTTGTACTCCTACCCAATTTTTTATAGATTAGTGACTTCATTACTGAAGAGTTTGTGCTTTCAATAATGAAGATCTATAGCTTGGGTGGACGTCGTTGGGGTGTACAGAGACCAATGAACTGGATGGTTTAATTGAATCAAACCTCAGATGGGAAAGACAAATTTATTAGTTGATTCGATGTCCCTCAAAATTTCTTGCAAAGGAATGTCCCTACTATACCATTTAATGTGAGACAGAATAGCGATGATGCAACTTCGACAAAAGATCATACAGATTATGCAGTTGTGTTATGACGCGATTATTTAAATGTATAGTTACCAGATCGTGTAAAAAGACCCTGAATTTGTTTTAGTCTGCTAATGAGACAGAAATCTTAAGTTACCTGCGAAACAAGTAACTGCCTGTAACCGCTGGCTTTACAAGTAGGACGACTACATATTACGTGTAATAAGCTGGTTATGTGTAGCTCTTCAAAACATCACAACACAGCCCAATAGATTAATAACGAACGGTATTTCAACAGGAAAACCAACTGACAATAATGATTATTAACTAGATTAAAGATGACAATTGTAAAATGTGCAATTAAACGAGTCTAGAAAAAAACTAATCAATTGTTAAGCTGACCACTTCGATTTGTAAAGCCCACATACCGCCTCCTCGTCCTGCAATATGCAAATGTACCTGTGAAAGGTAGTAGTTTGACATCCTATCGATAACCAGCCACTAGAATGAAAGCGCTTTAGTAATTTATTTATTTTACGTAGGTATTTTATTGGCAAAATGTTTGTGTTTGAGTTCAACCTGTGCATCATTTGCACCTCTACTTTGATTAACAAACCTTACGATCAGACTCTTAAGGCGTTTTGGTGACTTCACGATACCACGGGGTTATGGAATCAAAGATCTAAAACTTGGTGGATTCTCTTTCATGTGAGTTTTTGTTGTCCTCAATGATGGATTAATCCTCTGACTACTTAGCGTGATTTGCTTTTCTTTGATATAATAATAATATATTTCTGCAACTGAAGGTACAAGTCATTTTTACAAGCATGATCTACAAATGACAACATTTGTTGGCTCACAGTATGCTCCTCAAATGGGGTAGTTAAATAGATATGTTCAATAAAAGTGAATAACAGTACATTCATACAGATATATTGAAGCGTTAATGATCAGGTTTATGCTTTAATATTTTCCAAAGTGGCATGGGGTCCACGGTACGTACCAGATCCAATCACAGCATAATCGTTTTAGAATTTTGGTCTTGCCAAGTGTTTATGCAATACAACTTTATAAGTTTATGGTTCTTGTAAAGTGGACTTGTAGAGCGCTTGATTTGAACTATGACCTTAAGAAAACGAGTACATCAAGATCGTTCCAGACATCTGAAGTTCCATGGTTGTGCACTCAGAGCAAGATTCTGAAAGAAATCGTAACAGAGGAGCAGCAAAGCACTTGGATATGGGCACTAAACAATGCTTAAGATTTTTGTAGTGCAACAGACAGAGGTATGAAAATTCATTAGATTTAATTCATACTAGCTCTCGTTGCTAGAGTTAAATGTGATTAGAGGCTCCAGATGAGAGAACGCAGTAATAAAGAACAATTAGTTGCGATACTTACCAAGGCGGAGCAGGTTTGAATGGTGGAAGGGAAGTCAAGGTTGGAATATAGATGGCTGTTTGTTCGAAAAGAATGTGCATAAAGATAATAAGGTGTTAAGTAAATTAATAATCACATCTTTTATTGTCTGATTTTTTAGCTCCGATATCGGCCACACAGTTCTAGTGTAAAAGTCCGAGTGAGTATGTCATAGGTTATTTTTGTAGAGTAGCTAATCCAGCATAAAATTGTAAACATGAGTCTAAATGGTGAGCTTAGAAGAACGACTTCAATATCGCAGACTGATCGACTTGTTCTCATTCATAAAGTCTGACACAAACAAATTATACGGCATCACAAACATGGGTGGATTAAAGTCATTGCCCACAACATCAATGCTTACTGGTCAGTAACTCCACCCTCCCTCTTTTTGTGATTTTTCGCGCATTTAAGCTTATTTCTGGATATATATCATATCTCACACGACGCTATGTTTTTCGCATCCTGTTGGAAAACACTACCATTCTACACGTTAATCAGGCAGTTACAAAAGATGGAGTGTGAGTAAGGCATCGATGCAATGTTTAAGTGAATATGGTAGAAAGTATAGGCTGCCAATCAGAGTATGGGCATTAAGAAGGGTATAATGTAGGATAATTGTTTACCAAACGTATGTAATCCATCTGCCATGCGTATTTCAGGGGGAAGGCTGTTCCATATTAATGCATACTTGATAAGGAAGAAGTTTTCCCGAGTCTGTAATTCGTATTTCTCAACTTTGACCGTAGGTGCTTTGTCTCGAAGGTCGTATTCATGTGATTATTGGGTGAGAACCATATTATATGTGGAGGGTTATAAGGAGTCTGAAGTAAAGAATCAAATTGAACCTAAGCCTTCTTTTCTATACGTGATCTAGTTCTATGGTATGGCGAGAACGAACAGTAGTCAACTATAGACCTTACACATACCTTGT